TTCCCTAAGCATGAACCTCATCCTTAAATCTGTTATTTATCATTCAAGTAGTTTCAAAAGCTTTCTCCTTTAGATTTAAAGTTTGCTCCTTTAAGTTGCTAGAAATAGCCTTAATTTCCTGTTTTCAGTTTTCGAATTTTCATAATCAGTAGTCTTGCACTTTAAATTCCTAGTTTTCTTCTAGTAGTTGCTAACCCTTAAGAGGGGATTTTAAAATTGTTTTCTTACTCTTTTCGTATTGCATTTAGTTTTTGTTGAATTTCTCCCTCATTTACCCGAATTTGACTTAGCTTTACTTTGCTCTTGTATTCCTAGTATCTTTCTCACCTAGGCTGGATTGACACCTAAAGTACTACAGCAACACTAAGAAGCTTTAGGATTGATAATTAGAACTGTGAAAAAAGCTCTCTATCAATTGGCGCCGTTGCCAACTTAGGTTTTGCTGAAATTACTAGGATTTGGAGCTTAGTATAGACTAAGTTTTTATTTTCCATTTTGGTTACTAACTCTCTTTCAAGTGTTTGTTCTTTTCACAAGGCACAATCACAAGGAAGACAGTATGGATTCGGATATAGCATCAATGTTTGAGGACTTATTAGCGAATCAAGAGAGAATTCTGGCTTGGGACCCAACTAGCAACTATGGTTTTGAAAGGTCATCCACTTATCAAAGAGGGCTTATAGATGAACATTCTGCTTCAGAGAATCACTATGGATATGTTGAGGAATACCAATCCTGGGACATGGAGCACGAGCAAGGAGCAGCCTATTCTTCCCACATCTCTAAGGATGAAGAAACTCTCAACATGATGAAGTTGCTTTTGGAGCAGCAAGGAGCAGCCTATTCTACCCACATCTCTAAGGAGGAAGAAACTCTGAACATGATGAAGTTGCTTTTGGGGCAGCAAGAACAGCTTAATGAGAGCATTAGCATGGTTGACTTCACACTAGGCTCTCCTGCTCCATTTTCAAGAGTTGCTGCAACAACACATGTAGAGTCTATCAACACCGAAATCACACAAGGGAATGAGGAACAAGAGGATAAAGCTCTAACCAGAGATGAACTCCAACAAGAAGCTGAAGAACTTGAAGCTCTTCTTAGATACATTGTTGATGAAAATCTTGAGCAAAGCTTTGAAGATCCTTGTGAAGAAAGTTCGGTTGTTGAATGTTTAGAGGATGCTAGTGATAGCTCATTTGTTGAGCAAGAGCCCTACACCAAGAAAGAAACACATTTGCAACTCATTCCCAGGAAGGAGACAAAGGAGAATCCCATTGCATTAGCCTCCAAGGAGGGTGAAGAAGAAGAATCTCCACTGGAACAACCTTTTGCCAAGCACCTCGGTTTCACCCTCACCAATGAAGAAAGCATTGAGGATCCACGGCAGTTACACTTTGAGGAAATAAGGATGCACACATTTGGGGGATGGTTCTATGATGAGTATGAGCCTGGTGATACAAGCCTCAACATGACCGAGGAGGAGAGCCTTGAGGACCCATGGAAGCTACCCTTTGAGGAGATAAGGATGCACACATTTGAGGGATGGTTCTATGATGAGTATGAGCCTGGTGATACAAGCCTCAACATGACCAAGGAAGATGGAGATTCAAAGGCACGCTCTTGGAAGCTCTTAAATACAGGAAAACTGAAGCATGTCCAGTAGATCGATGGCTAGATCGAGTGACAAGGTCGATCTAAGAGAACGGATCGATCGGTCCAAAAATGGATCGACCGATCTAATTTCTCTCGGGAAATTCTCAGAGTTTGGACCGATCGGTCCTATCTAGATCGACCTCTTGATCGAGCATGATCCTCGATATTCTGCCCAGAACGACCCTCAGATCGATCCTCTAGCTCGATCCACAACACAGCTCAAAGTACACCATTCCAACACCTTGTATATATCATGAATTCTTGGCTTTTTGAATTTTATTTCTTGTTGCTGGTCTCTCTTGAACTTTTATTACACAAGGGACTGTGTAATTTAAGTTTGGGGGAGAGGTTGAGAGATTTAATTTTATGTTTTGTTTTCTTATTTTCCCTTTAAGCATATTTGAGTCTTCATGCATATGCATTTGCATAGAAAATCAGAAAAAATTTCAAAATTTTTGAAAAAATTCATGTAGCTTGCACTTGCATTGGTAAATATTTTAGGATGGAGTCTAGATATTATCATATAGGTTGCTTGCATTCACGTGCATATGGGGCAATTTTTCTTAAAAAAGTGTTTTATGCTCATGAATTAGTTCAAGGCCCTAGTTAGTAGCTCTTTGATGCTTGTGCAAACTTGAAGTTAAGTTCTAACCATATTTGGATCATTTGTTTTGATTTTCGTGGCTTAAGTTGAACAGACATGAATTGAATCCTTTCCTACTAAGTGAGAACCTTAATCTGAATTTGAATTATCACACTTGTGCATTTGAAATGAAATACATGGATCACATATACATATTCAGGCTTTCTTGGCAAGAATTAGGTCCGAGTCTTCTTTTGTTGAGGGTAAAAAACTTTCTAGGTTCATTGAGGAAGCAACTCCCGCACCCTCTCCAAAGCGGCGGTTCTTTGTATGTTCTTCGAGAAGCGAGGCGCAGAATGTTGGTCTGCATGAAGGTAGTTCTTACCCCGTCCCTTTTGACTTGGACGAGGATGATATTTTAAACGTCATGGAGTCGGCCGAGGAGAAATACTTCAGCGAGAAGGGTATTAGAAGGAGTAAAAGTTCAAGCCTGGCAACAGATGATTCTGATTCAGAAGATTATTGCGGTAATTTAGAGGATGATCGCGATGTAATGCCGGTTGGATACGACAATGAATTTTGGGAGCCACTAATTGATGATCCTTTGGCTGGATCTGATGCTGCCGATGTGATGTGCCCCGCTACCGATGGATTCGATGGTAAAGCAGCCGCGCTGGGAGTGCAGAGAGAAGTTTTGTGCAGCACGAACGATGCTTTTAACCACCGTGTGCGCGTGGGGGGATCCTTATCGTGACGGTATGTTCAAAGAGGAAGCATGTCCGTTTATGTTTTGTGGCACCATTGTTGACGGCGCTGAAGCTATAGATCCCCCAGCTGGCTGGAACCCATGTTGCCGTACAGACGGTGGTCAAAATGGACGTGGTCGTGCTGGGAGCGATGGGAAAGGTGATGGTCATTTTTATGGTGCTCAAGATAAGTGTGGCGACGTAGGCAGTGGTCAGTTCTCTATGTGTGATGGTGGTGGTCATGTGCAAACTCCTTGCACTCTTGGGTGTGTGAAGGATAGTAGACCGCTGCAGTTAATTGATGACGAGGAGTTTGATATCCCGCCGCTTTTCGACGATACGTAGTATGTGACTGAAGATATACCAGATCTAGACATTGACGGATTGGATGATGGTATATACGTTGGGAATTTATTTGGAAGCAAAGAGGAATGTCGAATTGCCATGGCTATCTATGTCATTAAGGGGATGTTCACATTCAGGCAGACGAAGACAAAACGCCATTACTTTGTGTTGAGCTGTGTTGATTCACAATGTGATTGGAGAGTGTTTTGTCGTGAGGTCGGCGACTGTGGTTACTACGAGATTAAGAAAGCTGAGTTAGAGCATATGTGTGATCGTGATACCCGTAATGCGTATAAGAAGAAGGCGTCTTCCAGAGTGATCACTGCTGTTTTCAAGGCGAAGTACAGTGACCCGGACCATGGACCTAGGGCTGCAGATTTGCAGCAGTTGGTGCTGGAGGACCTGAGAGTTAGTGCTAGTTACATGACTTGTTATAGGGCGAAGGCTAAAGCTATCGGTGCTATTCGAGGGTCTGATGAGGATTCATATCTGGATCTTCCTATGCATTTGCATTTGTTGAAGATGGCTAATCCAGGAACAGTAGCTGATTTGGTGACGGAGATTGACGAAAACGGATATGATAGATTCTTGTACGTGTTTATCTCATTCTATGCCTCTATCGTGGGGTTTAGGAAACTGAGACCTGTAGTGTTTTTGGATGGTACTTATTTGTGGAGGAAGTATAAAGGGATTTTGCTTACAGCTTGTGGGCAGGATGCGAATTTTCAGGTGTTTCTTCTTGCGTATGCCGTCGTAGACGAGGAGAGCAATGAGACTTGGTGCTGATTTTTGCAGAAGCTAGAGCGTATCTTATCCGACAGTCCTAATTTGACAATAATCTCTAACCGTCATTCGTCTATATACAAAGCAGTGAAGATGGCCTATCCTAAAGCGAGGCATGGTTGTTGCATTGTTCATTTGGCTAGGAACGTGAGCGTTCGGTTCAATAATAAAGGATTGTCAAAGTTGGTTACAGCGGCTGCTTTTGCATACCGAGTTGGATAGTTTAAGCAAATGTTTGATAAAATCTGAACCACAAGTGGAGAATGCGGGCGTTATCTTGAGAAAGTCGGCATGTCTCACTGGACCAGGGTTTATTGTCAAGGTGAGAGGTACAATTTAATGACGAGCAATGTGTGCCAGCAGTTAAATAAAGCTTTGAAAAGGGGTCGTGGATCACCGACAGTGGAGTTGTTGAGATTTATACAGGAGATCATGACACGGTGGTTTAGTGGGAGGAGGAAAAAATCTCTGAAATACTAGGGGAAAGTTACAGTGGAGGTGGACAAGGTTATGTCGAAGCACATGGAGGAAGTTAAAGGAAGTCGACTTAACGAAATCACGGACTGGAGATGCCAGGTGGTGGGACCGTTTGGGAAGCAAAATTCAGTTAATTTGACTGATCGTAAGTGTTCTTGTAAGAAATATGATCGTCTGAAGATACCATGTGGACACGCCTTGCTCGTTGGTGATAGCTTAGAACTACTTCCGAGCACTTTAGTCGGGGTGACGTATAGGGTTGGTAACTGGCGGGAGACTTATGCAGGAGTTATCAGCCCCATTGGGAAGAAGGAGTATGAAGAAGTTCCAGCTGAGATAAGCAAGATTGTTTTGCTTCCTCCAAGAACAATATAGGAAGAAGGAAGACTGAGCGAATACCTTCCGTCGGGGAGATGCCTGTAAGTTATAGTTTTCGAAAGTCGTAATTGGGATTGGTTTATTATATGTTGAGTTCCAGAGTTTTGAATTGCTTGCAGGTGACTCGTGTTAAGAAGGAAGTTCCTAACAAGTGTTCTAAATGCTTACAGCCTGGGCATAACAGGACTAGCTGTATGAAGCAGAGGTGATTGATGAAGCCTGTGCGGTGCTGGATTTGCAGTAGTGAGAGTGATAATTTTTTGGGTGGAGTATAAGTCGTATGAGGTTGTAGTTTTTTGCGGATTATAATCGTTTGCTCTTGGCAGATTGTGTGTTATTATTGTGTTTGGATTTTTTAGTTGAGCCGAAAATGTTTTGTGGTAAAGTAATTGTATTTTTCTACAGTCCGTTTATTATGCTCTATTTCCGGTGAAGCCTTTATTTTGTTTTGTTTTCGTGATGGGATTATTCTGACGGTTTCAGCTTATTCTCCAACTTAACTGACCACGGAAATGCCGAACACACCCCTGTTGTACAGAATGTAGCGAATTGTTTAGTTTTGGGGTCATGGTTACTGCCTATGCGTCTGATCACGTAATTTCTTAGATACTTATGATTGGTGATTATCTTCGTATTGGATATTATCGTTGTCTTTATTTCTATAACATTATTTAGTGGGCCTTAAGTGTGTAGTTTGTAAGAGGCCCAGCAGGAAAAGAAATAGGTTTAGTGGAGAGTCGGATATATATTTGGTAGTTGGCCCTTAGCTTAGTTTTGTTTCGTCCAATATTAGGAGATAGCAAAGTACGGATTAAATGGCTAGGTCGTGAACCGAGGGTGCGGCTGTTAGTTCGTCGATTCAGAGCTATGGATCTGTCGAGGGGCCGCTGTGTTTCTGCAACAGAGTAACTGTAATCTCTAAAGCTTGGACAGATGATAATCCTGGGCGGAGGTATTTCAGTTGTGGTACGCACGGCTTCCTCTGATGGTACGACATCGAGAGACCACATGGTTGACAGAAGCAGAGTCTTATGGAGGAGAGGGATCAGATCCGGCGTCAAGCTAAAGAAACCAATGAGCTGAAGGCGACTATTTTAGAGCTGAAGAAAACAATTAGTGGTAGTGTGAGTATGGAAAGAGAGGCTCTTGAAGAAGATGTAAGTTGCTCGGTGGATGAAATGAAGATTGAGGCATCGTTGAAAGCGAAGGCGTCGAAGGAGCGGGAGGAACTTTTGCTGCACTTTGTTTTGATGTCTTGGGGTGTGTTCGTGTTGGTGATTGCGTTGGTCCTGGTGTTGGGGAAGCATTAGTTGATGTCGTAGTTTTTGGTATGTGTATGTGTTGTTGTTTAATTCGTCGTTAGATGTGTGTAGATGTATGGTAGTTTAATGTGCGTAATTGAACACGGATGTTAGTTTAAGTTTGTCTGTATTTTGGTGCATTAATGTGAGTTCGGAATGGTTGAGGACACAAGGAAGCTTGCTTTGTTTTTCTTTCGTCGTACGATGTAGACTAGGTTTTTGGTGACTTTGTTGACCACGTAATGGCACTGTCCATTGTATTCCGTCCACTGTTACTGTTGGTTGACCATCAAACGGCTGACCATTGGGAGATATCCATGGAATGAGTGATAATTTACCTAGACAAGGGCTGCATGAGACTTAGTGTAAGCCAAGGACGCTACTAGGTTTTCAGTGACTTTGTTGACCACGGAATGGCTAACCACGAGGGACTGGCTATCATATTCCGTCCACTGTTACTGTAAGGTAGTATCTGGTGACCATAGCAATGATGCTGAAGCAGTTGAATGTGTTCTTGTGTAGATTTGGTTGAGCTGTTTTATTCGCTTATGTCTATGTGAATTTGTGAGTTTTAGTTGTTGTAAATGTTGGTGGAACACTATTAACTCCCATATTTATATGGAATTCATTGAGTTAGAAAAATTGTGAACACAATTAAACGAAAAATCAACGAATACTGAAGTAGGGGTTAATGTTTAGGAAGCTATTAAAATGCATTAGAAGTAAATAACCATTTTCTGATAGTTTTTTGAATCTCATGCATATGATTGGATAAAAAATATACAGATGAAGTTGTTGCACAATAAGGGGCTTATAAAAGACAAATTGGCAGAGTTAAGTCTGATGTTGTAATAGAAAAAGGCGTAGGGGAGAAATGGAAAAGGGCATAGTGGAGTTCTAGTAGAGAGGTATGACTAGTTCTCTGTAAAGGTCTAGAGCGTACTGTTTGCAGAATTGGTCAACAATCTCGTCGGTGAAGCCGAACATGTGAGGATCTGGATCTTTGGCAGCATGCATCTCCATGAACATAACGGCGACGGGCCCGCAATCTCCGTTGCGTTTGTTGTGGTACCAATAGGTGACTTGTCAAGCCCTTCTGTTGTGATGCGGCGGGGCAGAGGCTGTTAACAGCGTAAAGGAGCATGTCGCAGATTGGGCGTAGCCATTTTTCTACGTCACGGTCGCCTTTGAGAGGTGTATAGGGATCTAGGACTTCGATGTGGCTAAGGCTGAGGTTGATAGCTAATCCGACCCAGTGTTTGCCAGACCAGCACATGGGGACGTAGACAGTGTCGGTGTCCTTGACCCATGTCCTTCCTTCCGCATTGACGTAACGGCTTATGTCGTCCCATCTGAAGTTTGCCTTGTTTCTTGACATGCGGAACTTCCTATCTTTCTCTAATAAAATTCCTAGAAGCTCTGGAGGGCAGTAAGCGGCGGAGTCTTGGTGGCCATCGGATGCTCTTGTTGCGAGCCATTTCATCAACACATCCATGTGCTGAAACGGAGTAGTAGATGGATGTCAAACATTCGTAAAAACTTGAGAACATTTAAGTGTTTAGAAATTACCAAAGTGGATGTCCAATGTTGTAGTGTAGCTAGTTCATGAAGAAAATTGTTGTCGAATACCGAACTTAAATGTGTGAAGTGCCGCCTGCGTATGAAGAGAAAGTATGATGTGTATGTGGTTTTCAAAGTATTGAGTTGTGCGGTGGTTGTAAAGTGCTTAAACTGATGGAATAGTTTTGAGGGTATCTTCGAGTAGCACAAACTGGGCCAGGTCTAGTGTCTAGATTGGGCCAGTATGGGGATTTCTTTTGGACTGTTTCATCGTGGAAGCCAAGTTCAACTCCATTGGAGACGGGCGATGCTGATGAGGAGATGGAGGTGGGGACGAGTCGCTTAGTTGTTGAAGTTCATCTTGATCGTTGTTGATGTCCTTTGCTCTGCGGTGCAATTTTTTTGTTGGTGGGGGTTTGTGTTCGGAATGATGTTCTTCCTGTGGAGTGAGTTCTGTGAATGTTAGTAAGTTCAAATACCAGTTAGTTTGAGCTATTAAGAAGAAGATTATGTCCTCTTTATTTAGCAGATGTATTGTGTAGGGTCGGTGTGAAATCGTTTGAAGTCCCCTGCAAGAAAAGGTTACCGACGACAGGCGTGGTTAAGGAATTAAGGAGTCAAAATTTATATTGAAAGAACTAAAGTAAATGAAAACGACGTATTAGATTGTTGTGGGTAAAGGTATTTATTCTGACCACTTAGCGTTAACCATGGGCAAAGGTAAATCGTAGTAGTTATCCACAGACTATTGACCAACAATCGGTTGACCATTCGGATATATCCATGGGAGGAGTGGTAAAATACCTCGACAAGGGCAGCATGAGAATCCTGTTTCGCCGCAGTAGTAGCCGCATCGGCGCAGGTAATTGTGTTATGATTCAGTGCAGCTTGAGGGCCGTAAATAAAGAAGTTGGAGCAGTAAGCGAAGCCGATTTGAGATCTTGATTCAATAAGTTGACCACAGACTACTGACCATAAAATGGGTTGACCATAGAACGGTGACCAAGATGTGTTGATCAGTAGAGAATAACCATTGTAGTAGTGAATAATTTACCTCGAGAAGGACAGCATGAGACTCCAGCTTCGCCGTAGAGGAGTGTTCGGCGGCGTCATTAGTAGCAGCCGCATCAGGGCAGGTAATTGTGTCTGGATTCATTGCAGCTAGAGGGCCCTAAAAGAATAAGCCGGAGTAGTAAGTGTTGGCGATTTGAGAGCTTAGTTTAATTAGCCGACCACAGACAATTGACCATGAATCGGGTTGAACATTGAGAGGTGACCATTATACTATGGAGCAGAACAAGAGTGTGTGCAAATTACCTTCGCCGCAGTGGAGTGTTTGGCGGCCTCATTATTAGCAGCCACAACGGGGCAAGTAATGGTGTCTGGATTCGTTGCAGCTAGTGGCCCCTAAAAAATAAGCCGGAGCAGTAAGTGTTAGCGATTTGAGAGGTAAATCGTAGCTGACCACAGACTATTGACCATGAATGGGGTTGAACATTGAAAGGTGACCATTATAGTATGGAACAGCACAAGAGTGTGTGCAAATTACCTCGACAAGGACAGCATGAGACTCCGGTTTGGAAGCCGTTGAGTGTTGAGCGTCGTCATCAGTAGCGACCGCATCAGCGCTTGTAATCGGGTCATTATTGTTTGTTGGTAAATGGCCCTGCAATTGCGAATCAGGAAAGTGGTGTCAAGATAATTGACCACGAGGTGGGTGACCAATTACGGGTTGACCATGCAGGAGTTGATAATGAATCGGTGGGTGAATGTCTTACGTGGATATTATCGGGCAATTGCTTAGCAGGAGGCGAACGGCTAGGGATGTCAGGGCATCGTTCTTGAATTCCTGATCTTAGTAGATATTTCCCTTGTCTGAGTGAAGTTATAACCTGCTAATGGGGATGTCAGATGTGTGGAAAGTGCTAGTATAAATGATTATGCTTAGAATGAAATAAATATGTATAATTTGTACCTGTTCTGCCCTGCTACGTATTGACCTGGCAGGATGGTTGTTTAGGTCAGAGAGTACAGAGGTTATGATCTCTTCGTGCCCTTGCAGCGTAGTAGGCCGACTGATCTAAGGTAGATGTTGGTTTAACGACGTATAACCGTTATTGTGTTGGTCGATGGCGTAATCCTATGCAGGACATGGTGATGTAATAGAGATGGTGTTATCCATAGATCTCGTTGCGGCGAAGTTGAATACTATGCAGGACTTGATGATGTAATAGAGAAACATGCCTTGTGCTTGGCCGCTGAAGGTGAATGTTGCGTGAGAAAGGGGGACTGTGTCTTCGCGTGGAGAAAGAGTATGTGAGGAACCATTGATTGAGAACTACAGAAAAAAATATAATGGCAACAAGTATTGTGAGCGCTTACGTGGTAGTTGTCCGTATTCTCGGGGCCTTCTCCGTCTAATATGTCATCGGGTATCTGCGAGAATGAGAAGAGCGTTAGAAAGGAAAATTTTGAGTGGAGGTGGTGTAGATGTATGTAAGCAATGTATACGTGGCACTTTGAACGGGTGGGGGCTGGTTTTGACTGTGCTCTGTTTCTTCAGGCGCCGGGGATCTGTTGTCATAGTTGGCATTGAGGCTAATAATTGGTTGGGAATAAACAGTGGTTTTCGGGCGTGCTGGGCGGGCGTGGGAAAATGAAACTCTCCTCCTATAAAGAGGGCTGTACCGCCGCGTGTAGGTGGTTCCCTGCGCAGACCGATGTGGGTTTGTTTTTT